CACACACACACACACACACACACACACACACACACACACACGTGCACACACGTAAAACTGTGCTGCTGGCATGAGGCAGCACAAGCCTAATGCCGAGGTAAGAAAAGTGGAGCCTGTGAGCGGAGAGGAGGGGGGGTGAAGGGAAAAATGAATGAGAGTGAGGATGACAGCCCAGAGAAGACAGCAGAGAGATGGAGGCGAGGTGAGGAGAAAAGAGGAGGAGGTTGATGGGATATGAAGAAAAGACATGATAAGAGGAGAAAACTATTCTTGCATGCTGCTAGGCAACAATCTCTGGTCACTGAAGGCTGCTAATATGGCTGACCTGGCTTTACGTGTCTTCCATTTTGGAGTGTTTCTTTTGCTCTCCGTTTCCCAAATCACTGTTTGTAAACGAAACCTTTCACTTCCACCCACTTTGCTGCTTACGCGTAATCTCTCTCGCTCCTTCTTTCCTCCTCGTGCCTCCCCACTATTGTGTTCTCCTCCCTCACTTCTCTTCACTTGACCTGTTTCAGTGCATGCTCATCTTTTTCAGCACATTTCTGCTTTATTAGGCAGCACCCAGAGGAGGGTGACAGAAGGAGGATGACCCACAAGGTTGTGGGTTGAATTTGAACCTGCAATGCTACAATGCACCTGAGCTCTCTCAGCCTCACCTTCTCCGAGGATGCACTGTACCTCATAAACATGCTGCTTATCTGGCTCTGTGACACTGTTACATGCTTCACATTCTTCCTGTCAGCTCAATTTTCTGAAATCTGTACTCTCTGCGTCTGCCGGCACAACTGTAAAGCATGAGCTGTACTGTCCATTTAAAAGGAAACTCAACCCTGCCTATTCTGCTTCTCTTACCACTCTTTGCTCTTTCAGTAGTCATCATCACAGAGTGTCATCCCTCCACTTTTCATGATTTGTCTCATCCCCTCTGGAAATCTCGCTCCTGTGTTCTATGTTTTTGTTTCTGTAAGCAGAGTTGGGTCCTGGTTCATGGCAGCTGTCGCTGAGGCCTTCTCAGTCAGATGAATGTTTGCTTCCATCTTTAAGCTTTCAAGAAGAAACCTGTAACATTTGCTAGACAGCAGCCCCTGTGGCCACCATGTTACGCTGGCCCTGGGAGGCCAAACGGACTGCAACTTAAGAAAACACCAGCAATAAGAAAAATGCTGCAAAAGCACCCAAAACACAACGGAAATAGGAAAAAAGAAAACAGAAATAGAAAAAACGAAAACTGAAATGTGAAAAAACAGATTTCCAAAGCACAAGGGAAGTGTTTCTGGGGAGACAATAACCCGACGGACCACTTGCAGGAACCAAAATATGCTAAGAATTGCGCTGGGAGACACTTAAAAGAAGTGGAGGATGTATCGGTTTTGCGAGGAAAGAAAAGATGAGAGGTAAGTGTGTTAGCCTAACTATTAGCCTAAAAATCCGTCATCAGTATTATATGAATCATGAGATTACAACACGCTTACCTAGCATATTTTGGTTCCTGCAAGTGGTCCGTCGGGTTATTGTCTCCCCAGAAACACTTCCCTTGTGCTTTGGAAATCTGTTCTTTCCTATTTCTCTTTTCATTTTTCCTATTTGTGTTTTGTTTTTTCCTATTTCCATTGTGTTTTGTGTGCTTTTGCAGCATTTTTCTTATTGCTGGTGTTTTCTTAAATTGATGTCCATTTGGCCTCTCAGGGCCACCGTATCATGTTGGTGAAAAATGAAGCCAATGAGGAAAGCTTGCAATGGCTGGTGCTGCTTAGAGAATAAAAGCAGGTGCATAGTGAGGACGTTATACTGTGAGATGGTGCAAAGTTTTTATGTATACAACAGTATACAACAAACAAAGAAAATAAAACATAAAAATGATTTTAAGTTAAATAAGACCAAGATTGTATAAGAGAGTAGTGCAAATTGCTTTAATAAATAATATGTGTACTATAAAAAAAGCAACTGCAAGAAAGCACAATACCGAAATATTTGTGTGAAATCTGGTGCCTGACAAGTGTTGTTCACCTGTCACAGAAGGAAGAGTTACTGTACACTTGAGATGGGTTGAGTATGATGGAGAGCACTTTGTTCAGTGACAAACCAATGAGTGACATCTGTTTCTTACAGTCTATGGTGGACATATTTTTTTGCCACACCGAGTACCACATTGTGCCTAAACACAGATTATTAACACAGCGAATTTCCTTGTGGGGACAATAAAGCATGACCCTTGAGTTTAGAAAACTGTTTTGTAAAAATCTCCGCACTGAATAAAATGATATACAATTCTTAAAATATGACGGAGATGAAACTAGGCCAGCGAATAAAAAAGAAAAAAGGCAGAAAAGAAATTAGAACTCCTTTTGGAAGTATCGGAACACAAGAATAAGATCCTGCAGTTTCAGTGACTTGGTAGTTCAACAGAGAAGACAGATAATTCAAGTCACTTCAGTAGTTGTCTTTGATCCACCATCCACTGTATGCCACGCTGAGTCACGCATGCAGTGCATACTTGGGAAATAGGCCTTTTTTCACACCAGCAGCATGACTGG